TTTGTACATATTATTTAATCACCTTCATTTCTTTTAATAAACGAACTACTGCTTATTACCATTCCTGTGGCCTTTTCCTAGCGTCTCGTTCTCGTGAGACATTGCGAATTCGTGCCATTGTGGTCCAGTGCTTCTGAGATCCAGTCCGTGATAGCTGATTATTGATTCAGGTCTTGCGATTCATTTTGCGTGGTTGGTGTTCCGTGCGTAATACTACGACTACAACAATTATAATACTTCCCTTCGGAGAATTTGTTAAGGCAATCTCGAATAAAAAAAGTGAAAGATTTTATCGATACAAGAATAAATCTGGGTGTGTAGTGTTACTTCTGCCAACCAACTTGCGATACCGATGCTGCTGGAAACAAAAGGATCTTACCCTTGTAACACCACTACAAAGTGATTGTTCAGATCAGCTGAGTTGAGGAGGAATTTACCGTGGCTACAGGTCGCTTTTATCTGCTAGGAGATGTGAAAGCGCATTCACCCACTTGCACTTCAGCACTAAGGGTATCTTCGTGTCATTCAAATACTGCGTTATTTGGCGTTGTTATTAGTTGGTTGCTTACCGCATGCAATCGATCGGTCATGAACGCCATTTTTGGCTGGGCTAAACAGATTTTCGTCTTTATTACAATAACCTGATTGAAATCAATACGTAAGCCTTACCAGATCTCATCTGCTTTCGGGATACATCGACTATTACTGACCTCAACAAATTAGGGATTAAGGCCGATTTCGAATGTGTGGCATCTAAATGTTTGAGTACAAGAGTTCTCATTATTTTGTACATAGAAAATGGCCGTACAAATACTCACAGAATGGGGTCAATTTTACGTTTTCATTGTTCTGCTAAAGGAACAGTGAGTTGGTAGTTAAAAACAACGATATCATTAGCAGCTTTGATAACTGAATTACCACCTTCGGAATGTTGTGAAGATTTTGAAGGTAGATCAATTGTGAAAAGAAGAAGTTGGAATAGTGTTCAGTGTTAAGTTTATTTTTCCCTGAGCTTTTATCAACTGGTATTGCTTATATTTTTATTTGCACCTGCAATACGCTTCGTCACTGATTTTACGTCTTTAATGTATTTTAGGCTCCGAACACCGAGGTTTAAACTCTGATATTGCAATCCAACTTTTGTGATAGACAGGTTCATTATTGTCCAGATTGATGCTCAGTCCATTGTAAGACCGCACACTATCTCCCCGCACTTCCAACGGCGTAGTTTGCTGGCTATCGTAAGTGAACAGCTGGCCCCGGTGGCCGTATGATTTTATCCAAGCACTGTTCCTCATCCGCTTCTACTAGTGATAAATGACCGTTCCAAATGACGCAAACAGTCACAAATCCTGCATGAGAATCTTTCCTTGTTACCTGAGTAAATCGTAAACAAGGGTGGCAAATACAGCGATCTGTGCTCGCTGTTTACTTTGGAGATCAGCCGCCAAAAAGGAGAATACGAACTCTGGCTCAATCATTGACGAGAATTAGACGCTTTATGACGCAAAGTAAGTGTAAATTCCAGAATTTTAAGTCAACTCAAGTCAAGCATTTGCTTTACATTTGGTCGTGGATAGAGCAAAAGAAGAGTGAACTAGAATACTGAGATGCACTGTACATCTGTTTCGACCTGGTTAGGTCTCATCATCAATGCGAACCCATCGAAAAAATTGAGGAAGCCAGAATGATATTGAGGTGTATAATAATCTTCCAACTAGCAAGAACTCTACTTGAATCCCGTTGGTATTTTAATACTTTTAATTCATGCATTTCCATGCAATCTAATGTACATACAAGTAAGTGGGAAAGAGAAAATCGGATTGAATTGGTCTGAAAGTAGTAGGTTGACATTTTTTCTCATCCACTTCCTTCTGTAACGCCTAACAAACGCCGCTTTCTCTTTCTTGAGGTGTAAAGTTCGTCAGCCAGAAACTATTAGTATCAGTCTGTAGAAACGCAAAACATGATTTTGTTGATATGGCCATCATATACGGATCAACGTAGGCGACTAGAAAATGTGATCTCACTATTTTTCTCGTCGCTTGAAGCAAATAGCTAATATGCTCACTTGAAACTGCATAGAGCACTTGAATAGGAGCGGTGCTCGAGTTAAACTTGTAAAGTGTCTAGCCCGAGATATTTGCTCATTTCTCTATACAAAATGGATAGATTTTCATTCTTTGAACATCCCATCTGCATACATTCAATTCATTCATTCTACCCATTTCCTGAATCAAAGCGTCTAACTCATCAGATGGTAGTTTTTACCTGTTTACGAAAAAACGCACGCACATATTCACGAAGATTACGGTAGATTGCAGGTATGAAAGCCATCAAGGAATGCCGGTTAGCATCACATCTGGCCTAAAGTCCCACGTTCTAAACCAAAATTTCCCGTTCCAAATAACAACCCCCTAGATAACCGTTGATTCACCGCGGCCTTCATCCTCAAAATTGAACTATTATTATTCTTATTGGTGCTGGAAGATCTGTTTTCACATCATTAGACATGAAGCAGCTCAGTCTGAGCCACATATCTATCGAACTTAATACAATACGAAGAAACCTCGGAGATAAAAAATATTGCTGGTGAAATCCAAGCGGGTTTCAATCGACCCATTTGTATAATATCCACAATGGATTACTCATCTAAACACCTCCAATCATCGGGACTGCCTTGTGCACACGCGACATTCCTGTCCATTATCAATTTCGACCCATTTATTATTGTAATTTCCCCTCTTACGACAATCATTACCTTTAATTTGGGTCTTCCTAAATTCTGATTGGTGGTTCGAAGATCATCAAACGACATGGCTATTCAGTGGGTGCATCTCCTTCAAACGACCCTGATGTTGTGGTCGATTCTCGCCAGTGCCAAGTCATCGCTGGTATGCAAACTGTCTTATGTCTTATGCCAAGGCGTACGTTCGATATGAGCGCCTATTAACTAGGCCCCAACAATTGGAGAGAGAAAACGGCCCAGAAACGACAGTCAAAGTATATCATTAATCATAAAGCAATAGGCAAATATAGTGACAAATTAGGCGTACGAGAAAGGATGTGATGACGCACCAATCAGGTTGCAGCCTTGATAATCCGATTGGTCGATCGGACGACAGCTATCTGGTTCGCCTTAGTCATCCAATCCGGAATCGAATCGGCTTGGGTGTCACGAACGCACTTGTGGTGTGACGCGGGTCGATGGATGGCCGGACGGATTCTGTGCGCTACGTCTTAACACAAACAATGGAACTAGCAGGTCAGGAGTTGGTTTCCTACTTGGCATCGGTGGAGAGTACGAACAACGAATGCAATAATTCCGGAAACTTCTCGCTGTTCCCCTCGGGGCCGGTCAAAGCAGATGGCTAAAATCCTATGGGTAATGGCGCACGACCGTACCCAGTCACCCATCTTCGCGGAATTCTCTGTGAATTTTGGCTTTAGAGACTGGTTTTAGGTCACTTTCTGTTTTCATGTCGAGCGTTTTGGCCTATTTAAATACAGGCATATATAGTTTAAAGAAATTCTGAGCATATTGTTTGTGTTCTCAATTAATTAGGGGAATTTTCAAAGCTGTATCATTATAAAATCAAGAGAAGATCAGACATCAATTTTACATTTCGGCCACCGATGTTTGTTCATATAGACAAGAACAAAAATTCAAAAAAATGACTACACCCAAGACCTCCACTAAGCCAGAATCAAATAAACTCAAACCAAATTTTACGGCGGGGAAA